TTGCCAAAAAATCGGAATTGAGTCACTTCAGGCTGCAGTGTGAACGCACCCTCAGTCTCTCCTATGAAATCCTAATAAATACATTAAAGTTTGTGTTTGTCACGTCACAAAATGCAGAAAAGTTTAAGGGGTGTGAAACCTCTGACACTATTTGGTTGTTTCTCATTTGAATGCTTCCTTAAATAAACACAGCAGTAGGTAGAGGAATACAAATTCAGTTCACTCAGCTCTTTCCTTTGGAAATGACCTGTGGTGTGGTGGTGGTGATGTGAAATCAGTTCCTTAGGAGAGGAAACCCGAGAAGAGGAGGCCGGCCTGCTGTGTGTTCCCTTAATGAGCTCAGGATTTATTCAATAAGCTGTTTGCTTCCTAATTAATGCTCTAATTAGACTTCTTTCCCCTCAGAGCCACACAGCCTCTCTCACATGACACAAGTGAGAGTGTGACCTTGTAATAACCTGTGTGTTTGTTGTTCATTGATCATGACCAAATACACACCCTCTGACCATTACCGTCCTTACAAGTCTGCCTCCCCCTGTTGGCCCGGCCTTATCCCTCCACATTAAGATTTTATATATTTATCAGCGACACAGTCCACACCACCTTAATGGCCATTCTGAATTAATGAATGAGTGTGAAAGATGATGAGCAGCAGATAAAGAGTTCACCTGAAGTGGGTACAACCTGCACAGGGATGTTATCAGGCAGAGTGAGGCCTAGGGAGAAAATGTGACTCATTCAACTGGGGGTCACTTACTTTTGATGCAGCAAATTTAGATGTGATCTTTGAGAGGGCGTACCTCTATCAAAATTAAATAATTGCTCACTGTCTGCCCAATTGGCATACAAGTTCATTTACAGTCCATCATCAGCACCAGATACTCAGGTTCACCACAGCAACAGAAGGACTTATAGCTCATAAACATTGGTTCTGTTGATTTATAAATCATAACAGTCAGAGTGAACATCTTCATGCTTTTACCCTATCATGATAAACAATCAAAGCTGTACAAATGTTTAAAATGGACTTATGTAAAATTAACTTTTTGTACAATTTTGTACTTCCATTTTGTTTCTACTGCTTTTAGAAACAGTCAGAGCGCGACAACACAAGAGCATCAGTCAGTACTGTTCATGCAGTTTCTTTATTTTCCACCAAATTCAACTTTAAATTCTATCTCTTCATAGAGATAGAATGTTGAACATTCTAGAGAGTGTTGGAACATTCAACATTTTGCTGTATTTTTTCATATGGTGTTCCTGTTTAAATTATCAAATGTATTAAGTTCCTCTAAAAGCTCTTTAGAAAAGAGAAACAATGAAAAAACTTAATTTCTCTTAAACAATTTTCATAATAAAATTTTTGGTAAAAAGGTTATTCCTCATCTAAAATCTTTTTGACAGTAAAGATATTTAAATTTTTAGTTTAAGTTGCCCTTTTGATCTTTTAAAATGTCAAAATTATACTTTATTTTTTTAAAAACATAATTGACCGATTCTAGGTAGCATGTTTCACTGTTCTCTAGCTGAGCTGAGATCAAAATGAACAGAATGAAATGTAGCGTGATTGTTTGATCTGCTGCTAAATTTGTTACTTGTTCGTTATTGTGAATCTTTCCCAGCCCGTCCAGTGATGGGAAGGATTTTGTCTTTAGAAAAGCCTGGAAAGTCAGGCAACTTGTTTTAACTAGATGTCCTGTATCGCCATCTTGTGGATACATAAAAATATTTTAAGAAAGTAAAGGATCCAGAGGGAAAGTGTCCGGCGGCAAAGTGTCTGTTTGAGCTGCTGTCATAGCTGCAATATAATGCAAACTTAATTTTATGTTAGGCGTATTAATTAATTCATTATTCATTGCTCATGAAACCGAGTTTTTTTTGTATCCTTTGTGAAGTCGGCTGCCCTAAAAAGGGACTGCATCTCAATATCCGGAGCCATCGCTCATGAGTGGACAGTGGTGCACACATTTTGAAGAAAAATGGGAAACCAGACTAGCCAGATTAAACTCATACAGGCACAAAGAGATCATGAAATCTACTCTGGTTGAGATTTGAACCCAGAGCTGTGTTGTTGAGAACTCTACCTGTTTTTCTTTTATGTAAAGCTGATTAAGGATGGAGCGTGTCATAGCGATCAAAGAGGAGAACCTGTATGTATTTATTATTTTAATTAACTTTTATTCATCCAGGTGAGACGATGACCATTTACAATTATAGTTGTAATTGTTATTTTAAAAAATGTTATATTCATATTACTCTGTATGTGCGGAATGATCTAATAAACTTACGTCAGTTTGTCATTTCAGCTTTGGAATTCGATATGGCAGTGAACGCTGGTTGTCGAACATTTACGGTTCCTTTATATGGAGAGAATTTTTCTGCCATAATTCGAGAGCACACATTTTCAGTCTGAATTCCCCCATATTCTTCCTTTACTTCAGTTGCTAAACTGCAGTTCTGCTAACTGCCCATTGGTGGCAGTAATAATATTTTATTGCAGACAGAAATCCACCAGCAAACCAACTTAGAGGGAGAAGAAGAAAAACCATAACAACGGTAAACAAAGATGGCCGTATCAGTTTGTACAGTTTGGTCTAATTTGACCATCTTCTGTATATTTATCCAAGTTATTTTGGTTACTTCCGCTATAAGTGCAACGAGCAACAGCACCGCGTCCGGGAAAGAGAACTCTACAAACAGATACAATCAGGATAACTGTACCCCCACAGAGCCGTCAGTAACCCCCACAGAGCTTCTTCCTGAGGCCTCTCAGCCTCTGCCTGACTCCGGTACCCTCCTTCTCTCGGTAATCGGTGGTAAGCTGTTTATACATGGTTACCGACACAACTCAGCTGGACTAGCTAGCACTTTAATGCTGTAATAATCTGCTAACAACGTCCTTGGGACCTGATATCTGGCTCGGTGTGCATGTCAGCTGACAGGTTGTGTCCCTGTGACGAGAACACGGCTGTGTGTGACATGAACTGCTGCTGTGACCGAGAGTGTAATAAGGATGACGTTGCTCTGTTCACCAGCTGCACGTTCACTGCCGTGAGAAGGTGAGAGAGGAAGGGAGGGGAGGATAGTTCAAGAATGAACTATCCTGAACTAGCATAGTTCAGGATATCCTAGTTCTGGAGCAAGTGGAATGAGCAATAACAGTGGAATGTTATTGCTCATTCCACTGTCCAGGAATGAGCAATAACAGGGTTCCAACCCATGATGGACTAACATGGAGTTTCCTTGTGTTTTCCATGCGACATTGAAAAAAGTATTTGCAGTTTATTTGGCTCTTGTCTTAAAGTTGTCCATTCATCCATTGCACTCTGTGTTTCTTGCAGTAATTCAAAACTGACTGATGTAAAAATGAATTTATATGGGATTTTTATTTGTCTTTTACAAATGGACTAAAATGGTTAAAAATTGTTTAAATTTAAGTCTAGAACCCCACCCCCCTTCCTCCTTCACCCTACACACACACATATATTTCATCCTGTCATCTTTCCATCCCTTGCAGTGGCAGCAAGCAGCTATGCAGCCAGGATATAGCCAGCTACAGTTTAACGACCGATGTATACGGCTACTTAGAGCTGCAATCGTCTGTTCAGAGAGAGATCAACTACAACATTTTCTGCGTCTGGTCCCAGAACTGTAAGCAGCTGTTTACGTTCAGGTTGCTATGAAGAAATGGGAACCATGGTTCCTTTAGATGACGTGTTCATTTGTTTCAGCTCACTTTTAAGTGCTCACTAAACCCACACGTTTACTTTTAGTTTCCCTTTTATTATGAGGACACAATAAACATCATAACTCCTAAATATCACATGAAATATTTTGGTAAATAAAGTAGATTAAGAGAAAACATATTAAACCGTAGTCAATATTCGTTTTGCAAAAAGTCAGCGTTTTGGAGAATCAGTTTGGCTGCAGCTCATTTTGGGATGATTTTAAGTCCATTTCCTGTGTTCTGCATTGACAAAGGATATTTGTATGTAAATAAGAATAATCAGAATATTTTTCATCAAATTCCCCCAGAGGAGTATCTGCACTTGCATGTTGTTCTGCATGTTGCAGCTGTTTCTGTGCTTCATCCCAGCTGTTGAACATACAGGCTGTAGAACTGGGTTTTAGCACACTGCTGGGCCATGTTGGCAGCAGTGGAAAATGAACTAAATGATGATCTCAAATTTAAAAGAACCTTAAGATGTGAAATTACATAAAATGTAAAATTACATATACTGTTATGTAGATGTATGTATGAATTGTGAGTATTTGTATGTATGTATATACATGCATATTTACATAAGTGTATGTTTACTTATGTATGCATATTTATGGACAACAGATATCTTTCAAGCAGCTGAGTCTATTAATAGGGTAGGGAAGTATAAGCTTTGGCTTCAGCCTGCTAATTTTTGGTGAATTATTGCTTTGTAAAATAGAATTATATTTTGTTTTCTTTTTTGCAAAATAAATTAATCTGAATCTCTTTAATAAGCTACACAGTATGACATGCACATTAAGGCTGACAGTTATAACTGGTTGTGCTGCAGGGCTTATTCGTGCCACAGGGGGGTCAGTGGGTCAGTGTGTCATTGGGTCAGTGTGTAGCTCACAATATGAAGAACTTTAGAGTTTATTACCCCCACCCAGCATTTACATCCATCTCCACTGTTGTGTTTAGGTTTCGATGGACTGTCTCATCCCTCACCGTCTCTTCCAACTGCAGACAACTTTGATTCCCTCTTCAGTCAGTTTATCAGCTTTATATTTGACCCTGAGGGTGTCGATGAGGGGCTGCCTGCAGAAGTCCAGGCCTCATCTGGATACCAGGTTAGTTTTGTTTTAAAGCTTGATAAGATGAATATGTTTAATTTTATGAAAGAGTTTCTTTACTTTTCAAGACTTTTGCAAAGAAAACTTAAACCCAGTAGAACAAAGCATGTCTAATGCTTATTGTTCTTCACTGTACGGAGTGTTATGCTCTGTTATGCTTTATTCACTATGACCAGAATCAAAAAGTTCAAAAGGAGACATCAGTAAGTCTTAGTTAATTCTTATTCATTTGGATTCACCTGAAGTTTAGTCTGGTTGCCTAAGTGTTGTGCTTGATCAGTCTGTTTAGGCAAGGAGCCGTTTTAATGATAACAATAATAGCGCATTTTATTGGTAAATTGCTTTTTAAAAACAATTGTTTGCAGCATGGGCAAACAAATTTGAGTATTATAGAAAACAATTGACTGCTAGGTAAAAGCATTTTTTCTGCTTCAATTACCTGATAATATCTTATTACAGTGAATACTTTTGCCAGTGCTAATTTGGAAAACTTGGAAATGTATTCAGAGTAGGGATGTGCTGATAAATTGGCCCTGATCTCCTTAAGCTTGGGAGATCGTCCAAAGCTCTGCAAAGGAGTGAAAATCAGCCACTGTCTCCTTTTGCTCTGCAGTGAGAGGTTTGACTGACAGACCGCCCACCAGGTTACATCTGGCGGTCTACAGTTAACAATAGTTGCCTCACTGTTGCCATATTTAGAGACTTTTCAGACTGAAGATGTTGGTACTGGTCAAGAATTGACAGGTCAGACTTTTTAAAGATCAGTGATCAGCCAGAAACCTGCAATCGTTGCACCTTTGATTGAAAGCATTGAACTTTTACCCTTTTTGCCACATTAAAACCACAAACTTTAATGGATTTTATAGGATGGAATAGTACAATTCAGTGCATACTTAAAATTATACACCATGTTGCAGGCTGATTTAGCAACTGTTCAGCCCTGTCACACTGGTTCTCCAGAATATAGGAGTGCAACAGAAGTCACCTCATTAGTATAAATGAAAGCAAATGTTCTCTGAAGGCCTCAGAGGTTTGTTAGAGAACGTTGGTTGAACAAACGGCATCATGAAGACCAAGGAACTGGATGGAATGATATAGATTAAAAGCATATTCATGGCCTACTCAAAACCCAGATCTAAATCCGATTAACAGCCTGTAGCAAGACTTAAACATTGATATTGACAGAGGCTCTCCATGCTGTCGATTCAACCTGGATTGTTTTGCTAAAAGCCTGTATTTGTTCACAGCTGGCAGAAAGCAGCTTTAAAAAAAAATAAAAAAAAAACTCAGTTATTTTTCTTCTGCTTCTCAGTTATGGTGTCTCACATCAAAGTCCAATAAGATATTGTAGTCTTAGGAAGTTTTTATAACAAAATGTTGAAAATGTTGGTTGTGTTGGTTTCTGATCCATTGTGGAAGTTCTCCAGAGAGATCGCTTGGATCAAAATAAAGCTGTAAAAATGAAGCGCCTGCAGCTAAAACATGCTCAGCACCTATGCTAGCTCCTTCACAGTTTCAATGTTTTTGTCGGGGTTCCAGGGAGAACGTGTTCTCCACGTGTTAGCATATTCTGATTCTGTTCTGGTGGTTTGTTGTTTCAGTTCGGGGATGTCTTGGCTACGGCAGAACCGAGCGGACAGAAAGGGATTTTCTATCTTCCAGCTCATGGTGTCACTGCTGACTGTGTGAACAGCAGCCCTGCAGGTAACCCATTGCTAACATTTAACTCTGACACACACACTGGGTTTGTAATCTCATCAAAATGAACCATAAAATTTTGACTTTTCAAATCTTTGATTTTGGTAAATAAGAAAACAGAGATATAGACTTGACAAAACTAAAGTGTTTCTTTGACATTCTAAATATTTGTTACCCAGTAACATTTCAGCTGAGCAGCAACAAAAACCATCATGTTACTATATTTAGGTTAATGCCCCAAGAGGTTACTCATTGCTGAGTCACGATATTGTGGTGATATAAAGTATACAGTGGACTGCAAAAAGTAGCCAAAGTCCAACTTGAAGCTGTAAACCTTCAGGTTCCTGCTGCTGCTCAAGATGATGGATAGAATAGAACAGAATGGTCCTTTGTTTTGTCCTTCAGAGGACAAATTTTCAGTTAATGTCAGAAAAAGAGTTAAAGAAATAAACACAAAACAGTAATTGTTATGATTAAAATAGACTAAAATAAAAACAGTCAACTTTTTACAGTAATAATTGGCTGTTTACAAGACGACAGAATCCTGTGCAACAAGCAGCAGCTGTATGTGAACCGGTTCAGGATTCTGCTTCTCTGGGACTGAAACTTGTTTTCACATTTTGCCATTTCATTTCAGGCAGATAAAAAGCTAATTATTTCTTTCCTGGTTCCGTCCCTAGTGTTCCTGAAGGACCAAACCAGTCGATGTTCCCAGCGTTTGGCTCTGGATGGGGACTGTAGCTCCCTGCAGGCACTCAGGATGGACACCTACGCTAACGTCCAGCTGTTAGCTGTGAGTTCAGAGGTCTTACCTCCCATTCTGCTCATCTCAGGACATGATGCACAAAGCTCCAACTCCAGCATGCTAACAAATCCATTTAGTTGTGGAAATTTCAACACTGGTGTGAAGAAAAACTCCTACATATTCACAAGCTTTTGTAAGTTCCCTAAGTTCATACTCATGCAATTGTGGTGAGTATTATTTACAGTGGAATGTGTTTTGCAAAGTTCTTTGTGAAACATCCTTCTGTATTCAGGACTTGTTAAGTAACAGAGCACTTCTCCACTAGTTACCACGCTGTCTGGGTGATTCACACACCACAACTCTGGAGGTTCTTGCTTCTTTTTCTTGAAGCACACTGAAGAAAAGTTCAGCGATCAGTGTATCAAAATAGTGTGTTGGTCCAGCAGCTCTGGCCCAGACCCTGACGATGTGCTGGGGTATCTGTCACCGAGACATTAGCAGGACCTCCTTTAGGTTCTGTAACTCCTCCATGGATCACAGTTGGATTGACGTGGTGAACTTGGAGTCCAAGTGAACACCTCAAACCTCCCTGAACCACTTTGCTTTGTGCTACCAGATCTTAGGTAGATGTCTCCACCTGGAGAGCATGACCCTGATGGGTCTTTGACTGTGCCGCCCAACGCTGAGCATGTATTCTTAAACCTTTCTATAATCACAGCTACGGGAACTCACCTGTAGGATCAGACCACATGTGCACGGAGAAACCTTTGCTACTAATCACTGTAGAGCAGGAAAACATACAAGAGCAGCAGAGTTGGAGATGCATTGACCTGGTCACCCAGCCATCACACTTTGGTCAAATTCTTGTTTATTCTTCCTGCTTCTAACTAGGGGTGCGACAATAAATCAGCCTCAATTTCCTTAATTTTGGACAATCAGACGATACTTAGATGTGAAACCGATGTTATCTGTCAATCATATCTACTTCCACAAAGGTCTGAAAATCAGCCACTGTCCACTGACAGACCTGCCCACCAGGTCACGCCTACAGAAGCGCCATTAACTTTGTCACTGTATTTAGCAACTTTTCAGATGAAAAAAAAATCTGCCAAAATCAGAATTCGTAGATCAGGCTTTTTAAAGATTGCTGATCGAGTAGAAAACTGCAGTCGGTGCACCTCTACTTCTAATGCAATAACCTTGAAGACAAGAATGTTCACTTCCTGCCTGAAATCTTCCACCCGCTAAAATATCCCATCATGGACATCAGTTATTAACTTAACTGGCCATAATGTTATGCCTTTTGTTAACTAAAAGGCAAGCCTGATTTGATTTAAACCTCTTAGAGTGTCATGTCTGGTCTGCTGTGAAGCTAACTGAAGCTACACATAGCTGCACACAGATATGATTCCTCCCCACATCTCGCTAAAGGCTCCAATTATTTCACTACAACTTTCACTGAGGAGGTTGATAGATTGAGTTAGATCATATCTGGATGTAGGATGTAATATCTGAGCACTGAGATTCCCCTCAGAGAAGAACGTTCTGAAGTTAGCTAGCCCTCAGTAGGAAGCTGCTAAAGTCACAATGTGGTTGTTTGAAAAAGAGAGAAGTGCAATATGAAGACAAATTATAAAGAAAATATTTTGTCTTTGACAGGGGAGGAACGCAGATGCAGCAGTAAGTGAAATTTTTATTTTATTATTTGAGAAAAGTTGATTTCAGATAGTAAAAACTAAAAAATGTGGCAGAATAAATAATGATCTTCACATCATTCTACACTGTTTAGAAATTCTACACAATAGACTTAAGTGCAAAAGAGAAGTGTAGAGCTTGACTACGCTTCTCTCTATTTGTCACAAGACCATTCAGTTCCTCCTCTGTGAAGATCCACAGCAATGTTTCATGCGTCTGCTACACAATGTGGAAATGATCTAGTTCATGTTCTGTTATACATTACTTTCCATTTCATGCACATGCTGACATAATCAAGAGATAAACAGCAAACAGCATCTGTGTTTTAGCTAAAAAAAGGATTTCCTAAGCCGATAACAAGTTAGTAGTTTAAGTTTTGAACAAAAATGTGATAATAATTAGTCTGTATAATACATGAAAGATCTGATTGGTCCAGATGTTCCTAACAGAACCTTTTTTATTTCATAAAACAGGATAACTGCTGGTTCCTTGAGGCTCTAAATGTAAAGCCTCAAGGCCACAGTACCTTCGCTGTGGCAGCTATAGTAGCTACAGTGAAGTCCAAATACTGACAACATGCTTTAGATTCAGAGAAGACGTAAATCAACCAATCTGCTGCTAATAACAGATGAAGTTGTTAATCTGGTGTCTTCTTTCAGGTTGTTCCTGTGGATGTGGCTTCAGTCATATTACAGTCCATAAAGGGCGCTCAAACTGAGCTGACTGTCAGCGATGGAGAAGACTTCCTTCCTGTTCGCACCACCTCCAGTGGCTGTGCTAACATGGTGCTGAAGGTGAGTCAGCCCAGTTCAGTATATTTCTGATGGCTGGTTAGAGGTTGGCTCAAGAACTTGGGCCGCTCAAGTTCATCTGTGTGAAGCTAGACGAGTGAAGACTTTCGAGAATATAATTTATTTACAAACTGACTCAACAACAGAGAATGTCTTCAGTCAGGCGTTTCTTTGGATCTGCTGCAACACAAAGCCCACCATGCTTTTATCCGTAACCATTTATAAAGACTCAGAACTCATTCAGAGATACTCCGTCTAATGTCCCTGTTGGNTTTCCTATATATAGGACTCTACCAACAAAACAAAAATGTGGATTATTGTTTGTTTAACAACCCTGGTTATTCGTCTGTGAACCTAATTAATTTGTTCGTTATTGACTTTTGCTCAATTAAATTTCTTATGTATACATTGTATATGGTATTTTTATTGTTGTTGATAATGTTGTTTTTCATGTCTTATTTCTTTTGTTCCTCCTATAATTGATGGAGATATATAGATATTATTTACAATGTATAAAGGTGTTGTTTATGTCACCTAATTAGCTCTACATCCTGAAGAAAAATATGGTATTTTAGAAGATAATTTATCTTTCACGTTGCCAGTAATGGCGAAATTAATAGTAAACAATAAAGATTTTGTGGTATTCTCGTTTAGTGACGTAATTATATTAGTTGTCTTACCACCGCCACGCCACTAGAGGCAGTAGCAGGCTCGAAAAGATGCGACTAAGAAGCAGATTTAGAAGTACACAGAAAGGTGCAGAATTTGTTAAAAGCTGTGAGCTGCGCTGAAGTAAATAAAAAAGAGAAGTTGAAATACATGCTGAGAGTGAAACTCCTTCCTACAGATGAAGCTGTATCACAGATTTCAAAAGAAAATTAAAAGGAGAGACCGCAGATAATATAGGAAATAGCGCCCCCTTCACTTCCGGAGTGCAATGGTCCCTTTTCCAAATAAGGTAAGAGACTGACAGCGGTCCGTCCCCTCCCCTTTCTGTGGTGGACTTGCCTCCCAGTGCTCCCAGTACAAACTGCAGAAATGCACCAGTCAGAAACCACCAATCAGAGTCAGGAGGCGGGGCTTAGTGCTGTCATGTCAATCACTCTCATGCTCAACGCCAAGCCAGTACATGAGGTTGATTGACAGCGCTAAGCCCCTCCTCCTGGCTCTGATTATTGGTTTTTGGTCCATTTCTTCAGACAGCAGCAGATCGATCTTTTTTCATATCATTTATCTCATGACAAACACGGTGTCAGTTTGAATGAATATGGAAAACCAGATTTTTGTAGAAGTTTGATCCTCCTGGTTCGGCTCACCTGGTGGATCCTCAGGTGCAGGTGAAACGCGGCGCCGGCCAGCCACTGTTGCATGGCCTCTGTGCTCATCCTCTTCTTGGTGGTCATCCTCTCATAGTGGTCGATCAGCTCCAGGTTGAGCCAGCTGTCGTACAGCTCGGTGGCCTCTGCCATCTTCTCCTCGTCATTGGCGATGGCGGGGACGAGGCGCAGGTAGCGGTGGATCATCGATCCGATTCTGGACGAGGTGCTGACGCCGAACACCCTCTGAGCCTCGGATCCCTGCGGCGAAGCTGCAGCACGGACCTGATGGCAGCTTTAAAAGTTTGGCTTCATGGACATTACAGCAGCGCAGCAGGGCCGGACTCACCCGGTCGTGGGCCTAGGCTGGAGCCGGTTTGGTGCCCGGTCCGCTGCACAAAAACTCTCCTACTGTTTACTGTAGGTGATCCTGCAGCTGTAATGCTCCAAAGATTCATGGAGTTCATCTGATCAATCAGTTTTATATAAAACACAATGTAAAGCATGAATTCATTAAAACATTTTTATAAAAGTAATCTTTGGAGCCCTGAGCTAACAACCCTGTAAGTCCATTCTAAAATATGTCCCAGGTCACACTAAGAAAATTACAAAATAATATAAAATTATGAGCTTAAAGTCACTACAGAATAGCATTATAATACAATGAATTGTGACTTTATTCTCATAATATTAATAACTTTATTTTTGATGTTTATCCATTATTGTTTTGTCCTTAATGCTAAAACAAAGAATTTAAACAGAAAAACAAAATATTTGACGTACATGTTGGGCCACCTGGTCAAACAGCAGGGACAGGGCCAAGGCGACGACCCCTACGCCTCCGTTCGCGACCCTGCAGCCGCTCAGCTGTGCGGTGAGATTCAGGTGGAAGGCCGCCTGCTGCTCGCCGCTCATGCCCCGCTGCAGGAAGCCGTACCGGTGTTGCAGGGCGGTGGCAGAGTCCAGGGATAGGAAGGTGGTGAGCACCGGATCCAGGGAGATGTCCGGGACGATGTCGGCGTCTCGGGCCACAGAGAACAGCTGCTGGACGGTGGTGACAGAAGGAAGGCACGGAGACGGAGCCGTCAGGATCATGGCAGACACTGAGCTCCAGCTCGGAGATATGAGGCTTATCTGTGTTTATTTGACCCAGGCAGGCGAGGTTATCAGCACGAGTCCAGAGATCTGTCAAAGATATCCCAGTCTGCTGAAGAGCGATTCGTTTATTAGACAGCCTGAACCTAGCACCGAGAATTGATTAAAGGTTGAACAGGTCAGGACATTTCTATGGCCCATGCAAAACATGTTCAGCACATTTTGAAATCAATCTTAGATAATGAGATTTCAGGCTTTTGAAATGGCTCACTTTCCAGACACCAACACATTAAGTTATTGCCACAAAGCCATTTTTTAAACACTTGGGTTGTTTTTAGAAGCAGTGGAGTCCCAAATGGAAGAACAAAAACGTGCAAAATATAAATTTTACTTAATAGTTCTCCTTTAAAAAGGCGTGACGGATCTCCTGTGACTCTAGCATGAAACTTATTGCATTATGACATGGTTACTTTAAATACTAATACCCAATTTTAATTAATTTAAAAGAATTCTGTTAATATTTTACTTGTAAAGAAAAAAATAAACATTTGTTGTTATTCTGCCATAGGATAGTTTGCCATACTTCTGGCAAAATATCCTGATGTTTCGTTTCTCGGTCTTTACGTCAAGGAATCATTTGCTTGGGGTTTCGTGACGTCACTGACCAAACGTTTAAAAATTGGACCTTGACAAGCAAATCATGACCAACCGCAGCCACTATATACTGATTAGTTTTAAAACTTGTATGTGTGAAGCTGATTTGAACGATAAACAGACATTTCCGGGTCAGAACCCATCAGACCCATAGACATAATATAAGAGTAGACCCCGCATTGGCCGCTCTGGCGCAGGAAATATGGCGGCCATCTTGGAGCGGTATACCCTCCTACTTTGCTCAACCAAACCAGCAGAAGATGCCTCAGCACTGAGGGATATTGTTGTTCTGATCGATGGATTATTGATGTGAGGGCTCCACAGACAACATTTCACAAGTAAGATGGACATATTATTGTGAATATATTGTGATTAGAATATTACTTTACTGTATTTATGTCCACCGGCGAGATACCAGCTAATATTAGCTGCAGTGCTTGGTGTAAAACGGGTTCAGCCCCGCTATGAAGGCTAACTGAGATTCCGAGCACCTGCCCTTTTTGCTCCTTGCCCCAAAGTGCCATTTTGGTCAATTTTTTTATTTTTTATTTTTGTTGGTATTATTATTTTCTAAGCCCTCTTCTGACACATAATGACATGTACTAAAATTATTTTTTTGTTTTGTTTTTTTGTACAACATAATAAGCCTTCCGGTCACCTTGTTACTTTTGACCTTTTGCCCGTGACGCATGATGCAGTTGCCTCTCGCGCAGTGACATAAGGCGGCTAACTGGGGCTGAACGTAGCGAACGATCCAGATTTCAGATCAGTTTTTGGTGAATAAAGTGGAGCAGACCTGCTGCTTGTCAGATGATGGAAAACGTTGAAGTCTCGTTTCTGCT